AAAAAAAAAAAAAAAAAAAATCACACCCCTGAACTCCAGCCTGGGTGACAGAGTAGTGAGACTCCATCTAAAAGAAAAAAGAAAAAAAAAACCCAAAGCCAAACAAAACAAACAAAATACATATGAATAAATTTTCTATTTTTCCTAAACTCTGTAATGGGTCATTGTGTGTCCCTTACTCGGGGGACTGCTGCCACTCTTGCTGTTTGTGATGTCTGCACTCTGCTGCCCATGTCCTGCTGGCTGGTAAAGGATAAAAAAAATGTGTGCCTTCAAGCTGAAATTAGATCCCTTCTTTTCTTTAAGGTGTTCCTGTTTATCCCTCCTTCCTCTTCATCAGGAAGTGTCTTCTATGATGTGTCCCCCACATTCCTCTGTGTTTGCCTGAGCTGAAAGCAGGTTAGAACAAGACAGCCTGAATAAGTTCCCCCAAGGCCACATGCAGGCCGAGGGGAATCCAAGGCCAGGGGCTCTGCCTTGCTGATGGAGAGTGGCCTGGGAGCAAGGCCTCAGCATCAGTTATCTCCCGCTATACACAGAGCACCCAAACCTTAATGGCTTAAAACAATGACAACGTCGATTCTCTTTTGACCGTTTCTGTGATAGAGAATATTTGTTCCCTCAATAGGTCTGTACTGAGCACCTGGGCCAGGCAGTGCTCTGGACCTGGGGGTACAGCAGTGAACCAGAGAGATCTCGGGAGAGAACCCTGCTCTCCTGGGTCTTGGAGTCAGCTGTGTGTACGTGACAGATCAGAAATGGGCAAACAGTCATCTGTTGAACAATCAGTGGGCAACTGATAAACAGCTTTATTTTCCCTTGTCCCCCATCTGTTTAAACATGCTATGTGGGCCAGTTGAGCAATCTAGACAGGTCCCTTAGCTTTGTTGGTCACCTTCAGATAATTTTAAAAAGTGGTCTGAGTTAAATTTTGAGTTATACAAAGTCTCCTTCCAGGGACTGCATCTGAACTGAGAGGGAATGGGGGACAGGAGAGTTAAGGGCTCCTTCTGCCTGAGGTCATGTTCTAGGCTGACTTCCTCTGGGACTCTTGCGGGCCTCTCTCCACAGCTCCCCTTCCACTCACAGCCTATGATTGTTGTCTTAGCTTCTGCATCAGAATCTACTCTCCTGTTGTTTTGTAATGAGGTTGCCTTGCCCCTTGTACGAGTCACTCTTGGGTGGGATCCATAAAACCCTGCTATGATCATCTACTTTTCTGGGTAATGTGGGGAAGCAGTTGCCAACCAAGTATGGAGGACCTCTGTGGAAACTGAGATAGAAAGAAAGGCTATTTTAACATCTGGTCACAAGTAAATAATGTGGGTTATAATCTGGGCTGTAGGCTGGCCATGGTGGCTCAGGTTTGTAATCCCAGGTGAGGTGGGAGGATCGCTTGTGCCCAGTTTGAGAGCAGCCTGGGTAACACAGAAAGACCCTGTCTCCATACTAAAAAATTTTAAAGCCGGGCACCAGGTTACATGTCTGTATGTAATCCCAGCTACTCAGAAGGTTGAGGCAGGAGAATCACTTGAACCCACGAGGAAGAGGTTGCTGTGAGCTGAAATTGCGCCACTGCACTCCAGCCTGGGCAACAGGGCCAGACCCTGTCTCAAAGAAAAAAAATCTGTGCTCTGACATTTATTTATTTACTCAACCTGTTTTTTTTCTTTCTTTCTTTCTTTTTTTTTTGAGACGGAGTCTTGCTGTGTCGCCCATGCTGGAGTGCAGTGGTCTGATCTCGACTCATTGCAAACTCTGCCTCCCAGGTTCAAGCGGTTCCCGTGCCGCAGTCTCCTGAGTAGCTGGCACTACAGGCGCGCACCACCATGCCCAGCCAGTTTTTTGTATTTTTAGTAGAGTCGGGTTTCACCGCGTTAACTAGGACGGTCTAGATATCCTGACCTCGTGATCCAGTCGCCTCGGCCTCTGAAAGTGCTGGGATTACAGGAGTGAGCCCTCGCAGCCGGTCTATTTACTCAATCTTTGGCAAAAAATAAAATGTGGCAAAGGTGGAATCATACATCATATAGCCTTTTGTGTCTTATGATACTCATTTTTGCATCTGAACGTTGAACCTAAATAATATCTAGTTTGTGAGGACATCTGAATCACTTGGGATGGTCCTTGGCACAGAATTTGCCTTCAAAAGAAAAAAAAAAGGTTTGCTTCATTTAAGTTGATTTATTTACGAAGGGCGAAAGGACACTGTGCAAGGGCGGGGAGGGTGTCTGCGCCTGCGCTTTGCGCCTTCTAGAGGGCAGTCAGGGGCTTCTGGCTGACCCGAGCGGAAATCTCGCGAGACTGTCAGACGTATAGCGAGAGCCCTGGGAGGAAGACTGTGTTATCGCGAGAACTCTTCCTGTGGACCCTCGGTTTGTGTGGGGCCGTGTCTCAGTCCATCCAAGGTCCCCTCGGATCGCACGGAGAGGCATTCGGACGTGGTAAGAACGCCATGGGCCGGGTGGAGGCACGATGACCACTGGCCCGCTGGGCTCGCCTTTGTCCGTCCCTTCGCGACCCGACCGACACCCGGCCCGGCCTGCCTTTTCCTCTCTTCCCTTCCACACGCGGGGCCCGGGCACCTCCTCCTGTCTGCCTGCCGAGCCGGGCCGGCCTTCTCCCCTTCCCTCCACACGCCGGGCCCGGGCCTGTCCTTTTCTCCCGGATCCTCCTCACACCCGGCCCCGGACACCTTCTGCTCCTTGCCGGCCTTCCCCAGGCTTTGGGTGTGACAGCTCTTAAGTTTACAATTTCTCTAGTCTCTTGCCTGGGCCTCGGGCGAGGCGCTGTCTGTTTTGCCGTAATGGTCCGGAACATAATCCATTTCTAGCTTGTCAGGTGGAAATGCAAAGAAGATACTTGGTTTTTTGGTCCTTTGTGTGCCAAACACATACCGTCTCATTTAATTCTCCCAATTGCGAAAAGTAGCTTGATTATGTCTGTTTCACAGATGAGAAGAGTGAGGCTTGCTCATTCATTGTTTCATTCCACTGACATTTATTTATTTATTTGGTGCTTGCATGTTCAGGATGTTGAGGATAGCAATGAAAAAAATGGACACACTCCTTATTCTCATGAAACTAAATTCTTGTGGTGGGAACAACGATAATAGTAATTAAATAGTAATTAAATCCCTGGTACGGGATTTAACGTGTAATGATGCCATCAAGAATGGCGGAAGTAGAATGACAGAAGTCAGAGTGCTAGTATTTATCTGACCCCAGAGGCAGAACTTTTTTCCCTCTTAACCACACCTTTTTATTTGTTTGTTTATTTATTTATTTATTTATTTTGAGATGGAGTTTTGCTCTTGTTGCCCAGCCTGGAGTGCAGTGGCACAATCTTGGGTCATTACAACCTCCGCCTCCCAGGTTCAGGCGATTCTCCTGCCTCAGCCTCCTGAGTAGCTGGGATTACAGGCATGCCCCACCATGCCTGGTTAATTTTGTATTTTTAGTAGAGACAGGGTTTTGCCATGTTGGACAGGCTGGTTTCGAACTCCTGACCTCTAGTGATCCACCCGCCTCGGCCTCCCAAAGTGCTGGGATTACAGGCGTGAGCCACCACTCTCAGCCTGTGTCACTTTCTAATCAGGGTCGGGTTCACCATAGTAACTGCTTTTGGATGGACTTAGCTTTCTACCACGCACTTGGTAATTTAGAACTAAGTTTATAGAGACTCTTGAGTTACTTATTGGAATGAAGATGGCACAGGAAGTCATAGCCCATTTCTGTACCAAGATCCTAGTGTGACATTTCCAAACTTTAAAGTACATGAGACCGTTTGAGGAAGACTTACCCTAATGATGCAATGGAGGAAGATTCATTTGCTACCTTGTGGCTTAGGCAATTTAGTTGGTTTTCTCATTTGAAGATTTGCTAGCTTGCAGATTTACTCAGATAAGTAAATGAGATAATATATGTAAAGTCTAGCACAATAACATTCCTTTCATTTTCTCCTTTCCTCCCTTTCAGAGAGCCTTTGTCCTTGGGTCTCTATTAGGTCCTACCCTTTGAAAGTTTTGTGATAATTTATATCTAAATAAATCTCTACAGTTGCATTATTACCTTTGTGCAAACAGGTATTTCAGAAATGGAAAACCACGTTGAGCTATGGAAGGAAAGGAAAATGTGCCTCTCAAAGGGAGAGAATATATTTTAGAACTACACAGTACTCCTCACCCCTATTTTAATAAATCAACATAGTGTGCCAGAATCTCAGGAACCTGTGTAGGGGTTTCATAAAACTCCATAGGATATCCTGACACATATCCCTCCCCCGCCATTTGAGAGTCCCTAGGTTAGTGTTTTATAATACTTTTCCTCATATAATGTTAGTATTCAGAACCATTCATTGCTACTGCTGATGGACTTTGAACTCACTCTCTTATTTCGAAGAATTGGTATTTTCTGCCTGGTGAATCTGTGATATAAATTCTCCTCTAGGTGGCAGGTTCACCATTGTGTTCTGCGGGACTATCACAGTAGTGTCAGTTTAGGTACCCAATAAATAGTTGTTGGATGAATACGTAATACCTTAATACTTAATTATTCTTTCAACGTACCAGGTGTGGTTTGGGACTTTAGACTGAGATCTGGGATTAAATCTTGGCTCTTCTACTTGGAAGTTTGTGACTGTAGGTAATATATTTAACCTTGTCAAGCCTGTGTTTTTTGTTTTTTTTTTAATTAATGGTGATGATAATAGCCATTTTAATGGTTTGTGAGGCTAAACGAGATAAGTTTTTTAAAAAAGCTTGGCACATAGTAGACTATATGTAAATACTGACTGAATTCATTTACTCAATAAGTAATTATTGAACACCTACTATACAACAGTGAACAAAAGGACAAAGTCCCTGGCATGTGGAACTTACCTTCTAGTATGTTTTCTGAAGGGAGATCAGAACATAAATGGTTGCCACATGCCAGACTGTGGTCAGTACTATGGAGAGTAATAAAGCATTTTAAGGTGGAGGGGAGGGGAGGCAAGACTTTTTAAAATAAAAGATGGCGAGCAATGGTCTCACTGAAAGGAGGTTACTTCTGAGCAGACACCTGAAGGAAGTGAAGGCCTGGGCTTGAGGATGCCTGGAGGAAAGTGCAAGGGCCCTGAGGCAGAAGCATCCTGGATGTGCTAAAGGAGCAGCAGGAGGGAAAGGGGAGGGGAGGAGAGGGAGAGTAGGTAGCAGTCAAGAGGTTTCTGCAGGAGTCCTGGAGAGAGATGATGGTGATGCAATTAATGAACTTTGTCTTTATTATATCCCGTTCTTTGACTAAAAGCAATAAAAATAGCTGATACTTATATAGCTCTTAATGTGCATCAGGCACTATTTTAAGTGCTTTACATATATTAGTCATCAGATCTTTCCAACAAAGTACACCTAGCCTCAGAAAATGCAGATTTGTCACTCTTTATGATATACAGTGGAATGTGCTGCTAATTCAGAGTACTTTCTCAACCATTACTGAAATCAGCAGTGAATTCACTACCTCTGTTCACATACTGGTTAGGTTGCAAAGGCAAGTCTAAAGTGGCTATAACGGACCACCCAACCAGTACGTATGCATTGGGTTAAGTTCAGTTTCATGGAAGAACTGTAGAAGTCCATGGTACTTTTTAAATTACTCTTCTTGCTATTTTTTAGTCCTTTTAAAATTTTCATCCAAGGTTGTCATTTTGATTTTGTTTTCATATAGTTATGTCTGGACACATTGCTTCAACATAGAATGCACATGAACAATGTGGAGGTCTAGGCTGGAATGGGGGCCCAGTTGACCACTGTTGCTCTGGCTAGTGGGCATTAATACTATCTCTATGCTTGTTGGTTAGAGGGGCTGCCATATTGTCCTTTTCAGCTTATCTTCTTTGATTGTGAAATCATAACATTGCAGTGATCATTTAGCTTACAATACCTCAAAACAATTATTTGGAGGTTGCTACTTTTACTTCTGATATGAATGACTCTACACTCTTAGTCATTCTTATACCAAGTTGTCATCCTTAATTTTGCTCAGCTTGATTAGTCAAGATGTTCCTTTTTGGGGTTAGCAGTGTGTTTGGGGGCACCTTTGGGGTTTAATATTCCTTTTATGCAGCATTACCTAAGTGCTCTATAAATGTGGCAGTTTGGTTCAGTGAAGTAGTGAGTAGCTGACAAAATAGGTTAAAAGGTTTTGTTTGTCACTTTGGTCACAGGTGAGAAGTCTTTTAATATTGAGACAATTACGGCTTTCAAAGGAATATAATCTCAGGTGTGTTTTGAACTTTATTTTGGCATTACTGCTAGTCTTCCAGGCTTTAGAAGAGGGAAAATATTAATATTTTATCATTTGTTGGCTTCTATGGGAGAACTACAAAATGTTTGTGACATAAAATCAGGATAAAATGGCATTATTACTGTGATAGTAGGTAACTAGCATGTTTTCCTATCCTTGGCTATGTTATGGCAAGAAGTTTCAAGTTGAATATCGTTCCCTATATTCAACTTGAAATTCAGTTAGAATTTCTGTGGTACTGCCAAGACTGAGGAAAAAACCCAGAGTTGGCTGTAAAATATGGTAAATGTGTCCTCTTTAACCCACAATCTTGCTGCTGTTTGTGTGAATCTATGAAGCTCAGCTTTGTGGTTCTGGCAGCAGGAAAGACACTATCTCAGCACTTATTCTGGGATCATACTTTCAGTGGCAACACCCTTGCCAGTTTTGTCTTGTTTGAAAAAATCTAAAAGTAATAGTTTGTGCTAAAAACTTTTTTTTTCCTCTGAAAAACCTTCCTGCATTAATACAGTATCTATGTTTAAAGTAGAACTATACCATACTTACTGTGGCTAGTCTGAACCTAAACATTAATTTATCATTTATTCATCCATTTGTCTAAAATGTCTTAGGCCTCTGTTGAACTTAGGGGACAAGCATTGTACAATGCCAGGGACATTCTTCTCTTTATGTTAATTCAGTGGCACATAGAATGTGAAGGATTGGTAATGCCAAGGTACTGATACCAGGCGGTCTGCTCAGTATGAAGATGTACAAATCTATTAAATCAATAAGACATGGTTTCTTCTCTCATGAAGCCATCAGGCTCAGGAGGCAGGCATATAACAATAGGGTAATATGTGTTACAGGTGTCCTGCTGGAAACCTATACATATTACAGTGGTCATGCAGCAGGCAGCAGCCAACTGTATTGGCCAAAAGTATTGAGGAGTGAGGTGCTTGGTCATGAAAGGCTTTGTCGTTAGTGATGGTGACTTGAAAAGCAGACAAGTAGGGAAAAGAGGAGAGACTGGCATTGCTGGCAGAGAGTGCTGATAGCCAAGCTGCACAAGATAAACCAAATTAGCCTATGCATAGATCAGCTCTCCAGTAGATGAGGGTGTGTAGATGAGGGACACAGCAAGAGAGCCAGAGTGAGGCCAGGAAATAGAGAGCTGTGATGGTTAATTTTAGGTGTCAACTTGACTAGATTAAGGAAACCTAGAAACCTGGTAATATGTTGTTTTGGGGTGTATCTGTTTCCAGAGGAGATTAGGGTGTGAATCTGAGTAGATTAGGTGGGGAAAATCCACCCTTAATGTGTGTGGGCACCATCCAATCTGCTGGAGCCCAGAGAGAACAAAAACATTGAAAAGGCAGATCTATTTGCTGGAGCTGGGATACATTCCTCCTCTCTTGTCTTTGGACAACACAACTCCAGGCTCTCCAGACTGTGGGCTTCAGTACTTACACCAGCGGCCCCCTGGGTTCTCAGGCCTTTGGCTTCAGACTGAGAGTTACTTGATTGAGTGTGATGGCCCCTTAGTGTTCCGCTTTGGTGTTTCTCATGTGATTTTGCATTACTCTTACTATTTACAAAAATAGCTTTATATGCAAGACAAGAGCGAATATTTTACATTCAAAAATCGACTAAAAGGAAATGGAATTACAACGTTGTCTGGATTTCATCTTGTGGTCTAATTGGATATGTAGGCTCTGAGGATTATCTTGGAGAAAAGGGAAAGCTATCATAAGCATGATAGTCACAGGTAAGTAGTGCTATATGCCAGGCACTGTCCTAAACATTTTAGTTCATATAATTCATTATAGTTCATATAATTCTCATTGAGTTGGGCCCATTATCGAGTGTGGCAAGTGGGGAGAGGAGAGGCTGGAGAGGATCCCCGGGTGCCATCCGAAGCCCCGTTAGCTGGCTTCGCCCTGGGCGGCCGGGCGGGGGCAGCAGGCGCCTAGCGGGGAGGCCCAGCGGCGTGGGAGCTGCGCCGCGGCTGCGAGGGCCAGAGAGGATGGGCGGGGAGCGCGGCAACAGGGGCGGAGTTTTCAGTTCCTCCCTGCCTCTGGGTGGAGCGCTCCAGCTCGCTGGTGGCTGCCGTGTGACCTGTGGGCGAGGCGCGGCCCTGGCTCGGGGGCCTTCCACACTCGGGTCAGGGATAAAGCAGCTTCTTGCTTGCTGGGGAGCTGGCGCGTCGGTGACCTGGCCTGTGAGGTATGTCCGGCAACCCTGGGGACGCAGCGGGAGTCCTTGCGGCCGGC